AGCCCAGGAAGGAGGGCTCCAGAGCAAACTAATTTGTGCAGCGGCCAAATGGCTCGCTCACAACTTGAATGCCAGGAGCTCACAAAGTAGAATTTTTGCTCACAAGACTCCACAGCTTAGAGGGACTATTGCATTCCCTCTAAGCTGCGTTAGTGTGAGCCGGCTCACAGTTTTTTAGCCTCGGGCTCACACATTTTTGTCTTAGCCCAGGAAGGAGGGCTCCAGAGCAAACTAATCTATGCAGCGGCCAAATCGCTCGCTCACAACTTGAATGCCAGGAGCTCACAAAGTAGGATTTTTGCTCACGAGACCCCGCAGCTTAGCGGGCGCATGGGTCCCCTAGTGTCCATTTCCCCACCGCCCACCCCAGTCCCTCAGCCCATGCAGCTGCAGGAAGACGCCGAGAGCTGCTCCACCTCGTGCCACTGGTGGCTGTCGTCCAGAAAGGCCACATCCTCGTAGCGGGAGGGCCGGCAGCAGGGCTCCCCCACGGCCGGGATCTCGCTGTCCCGCAGCAGCAGGGCGAGCGTCATGTCGTGGTTGGTGCGGGCTTTGCGGCAGGTGCCGCCGCAGTACTTGAAGAGGATGGTCTCCTCGGAGTCGTAGCCCAAGCCCAGGTCCTTGACGCGAATCAGCAGGCTCCGGAGATGGCACCCCTGCTCCGCGACCAGGTCCCACGTGTGCCGCCTTGGGTCCGGGGGGCCGTGGAGCCCTTCTCTGGTCCACGATGCTTCTTCGGGGGGCTGGGTTTCTGCAAGGGAGCAGCAGGAAGAACAGCATGGGAAAGCAGCACTTTGCCGTGGGGGGTGTGCTAGACCGGGTCCCCCAACGTGGTGCCCATATCACCCACCAACAGTTTTCTTGGTGCCCATCAAGTGTTTTTAGAAAGGTGTGGGGCTATTGGAGATTTAGAAAGTCTTCTGAGGGGCTCTTGGCGATTTGATGGACTGCAGATTTTTAAAAATGTTGTCTGGGTAGAAGATGGTGCCCTTGGGAGAACTTGTAACTGACCCAAGGTAACACCAGCAGCTGCATGCGGAGGAGTGGGGAATCAAACCCGGTATTCCCAGTTTAGAGTCCGCGCTCCTAACCACTACACCAGAGTAGCTCTCTGCAGATTGGGCCACCACGTATTAGAGTATAAGATGTCCTTGGTCTAGTTGTGAACGACCAAAGTGCCTGACGGTCGTTTCTTCCACTTACCAAATTAAAAATACTCAGAAGTGAGTTGGTGACATCGCGCTCAGAGAACCAAAGCGTTGTCCCCTTAAGTGTCGTCGCCAGTTCGGTGTAGTGGTTAAGTGCGGGGACTCTATTCTGGGGGAACCGGGTTTGATTCCCCACTCCTCCACTTGCAGCTGCTGGATGACCTTGGGCAAGCCATAGTTCTGTCAGAGCTGTCCTTGAACAGGCAGTTCTCTCAGAGCTCTCTCAGCCCCACCTACCTCACGGTGTGTGTTGTGGGGAGGGGAAGGGAGAGGAGTTTGTAAGCTGCACTGAGACTTCGAGTGAAGGGTGGGGTATCTCCAATCTCTTCTTCATCTTCTTAACTCTGACCTCGCTACAGTTCCTCATTGCAAAGAACGGCTGGTGTCCCAAAGGCATGAAAGATGTTAATTCACACACAGACACACACACACCCAAACTCACAAGACTTCCGCTCTTTCCACATTACAATGCTATATCGATTGCATACACATTCAGTCATCACATATTCCTCAAAAGAAACCTGGGAATTCCATTCTGCTAAAGGCGCTGAGAGGGTCCTTTAAATCTTGCAGGAGGAGAGGGAGAGGGATGTACGTCACCCCTCACTTCTTCTCAAAAGCATTTGAAGCAGGGGTCATTTCCTGCGGGAGCGCACAGGAGCGGCGCTCTGGCAGTAAGGAGCCCAGTGGGCGGGCACATGCAACAAGCCCCACCCCCTGCTCCCAGCAGCCCTCAGTCGGGCCACGAAGAGCAAGAAGCAGCCAGGTAAGCTGCAGAGCTCCCTCCGGCCCTCCGGTCCAAAACAGTCCAGTGGCACCTTTAAGACCAAGTTTTATTCAGGCACAAGCTCTCCCTCCTCTGCAAGGACAGATCTGCATGTCCCCACCCCCAATAGCTAGCAATCCAAAACAGTCCTGTGGAGCCTGAGCGGTGGGTGTTGCCTTCTGACACACTTCTGGTGATGTCAGGGGGCATGGCATATGCAAATGAGTTATGCTAATTATGCTAATGAGCTCATGCACCTCTTTTTCTACGGAATGACCCCTGATTTAAAGGATCCCTTTAAATGCTTTTGCAAAGAGGGGGGGGCCTTCAAGAAGCGGGGGGCCTTTCAAGAAGAGGGCTGGCGCTTTAAGGAAGGAGTTGGAGACCCCAATAGCCTTACCGTAGCTACGGGCCAGTACCCAGTCCCTTTTCTACCCATCCCTTGCAGAATGACAGTTTCCAAGCAATGCTTCTGAGAGCCAGCTTGGTGTCGTGGTTAAGTGCGCGGACTCTAATCTGGGAGAACCGGAAGAGTTTTTGGCTAAATATTAGGTAGAACGTCCTGACAGAGCGGATCCTCAGTGGAACAGGCTTCCTCAGGAGGTGGTGGGCTCTCCTTCCTTGGAGGTTTTCAAACAGAGGCTGGATGGCCACCTGACAGCAATGCTGATTCTGTGAACTTGGGCAGTTCATGAGAGGGAGGGCAGGGAGGGTTGCCTCAGTGCTTCGTTCTCGTGGGCCTTTCTTGCACACCCAGGGAAATGCCCATCACCACTTTGGGGTCAGGAAGCAATTTTTCTCCAGGCCGGTTTGGCCAAGGATCCTGGAAGTATTTTGTCATCTTCTGAGCTTGGAACAGTGGTCACTGTGGGTGTGGAGGGGGAGGTATTTGTGAATTTCCTCCTTGTGCAGGGGGTTGGACTAGATGACCCTGGAGGTCCCTTCCAACTCTATGGGTGCGGTCAGACGACCTGCCAGGAGCGGTTTAAACTGTTCCAGTTCCAAGTGGATTAATTTGATCCGGGGGAAACACGGTCACATTCACTTCCCTCACGGCGCAACACATCGCTCCCAGGCGTCTACACTAGGCGCGCAGCAGTGCGCATCGGTGGGTTTTTTAAATTATTATTATTATTTTACATTTTGCACATGTGCATAGGTGGCCATCCATAGAATTGAGATCTTTGCGCAGGCGGAGAACACCCTATCCTGACCTACCTCACAGGGTGTCTGTTGTGGGGAGGGGAAGGAGATTGTAAGCTGCTCTAAGTCTTTTTTGGTAGTGAAGGGTGGGGAATAAATCCAATCTCTTCTTCTTCTTCTTTCTATTTATTTATTTATTTATTAGATTTGTATCCCACCTTCCCCGAAGGCTCAGGGCGGCTAACAAGGGCAAAATGCCAAATTGTAACAATAAAAGCAGTATAAAATACAATAATACAAGTATTTCGGTTAATTAAAATGAGTAAAAATAAGTTTTCGGTGCTCCGTTACTTAGCTTCCGAGATCTGGCGAAATCGGGTTTCCCGGGGCTATCCAGGTCGGGGCTTGTTTCCAAGGTTTTCTGATATCAGGGCAAGCATGCGGTGTAGAGAGACTGGCTCCTGAGAGGGAAAGCCCAGGGTGGTAAAGAACGTCAGAAGGGCCCTGCTGCATCAGACCAAAGGCCCATCTAGAGGGGTCTTCGCTCTGCCTGTCAGCTCCTAACTGCCCTGCCACCCGCCACCCGTTTCAGGTCTCCCGTGATCCATATTCCCCCTTGCCGGTCCTGAGGTCTCTTCTGCCCATCCTTGCCGTAGCCAAAATCTTCTGCTTCCCTCTGGCGCTGCCTCCAGATTGCTTGCCTCTTCCCCTACACGCCGCCCGTTTAGTCTCAACCCCTACAAGATGTCCGTTTAGCCTCGGCCAGGGCCTTCTCTGCCCTGGCCCCCACCTGGTGGAGCACGCTCCCCATCGAGGTCAGGGCCCTGTGGGACCTTACTCAGTTCCGCAGGGCCTGCAGGCAACGCTCCCTCTAAGCTGTGGAGTCTTGTGAGCAAAAATTCTACTTTTGTGAGCTCCTGTCATTAAAGTTGTGAGCGAGCGATTTGGCTGCTGCATAAATTAGTTTGCTCTGGAGCCCTCCTTCCTGAGAGAAGGCAGAAATGTCTGAGCCGGAGGCTAAAAAAACTGTGAGCTGGCTCACACTAACTCAGCTTAGAGGGAACACTGACTGCAAGACGGAGCTCTTCCACCAGACTTTTGGTTGAGGCAGTGGGCGTCCACATACGGCCTCCCCGAGGTTGCTGTCTCCTGCCTACTGGCCACCCACCTGCCAGCAACCGGCCATAACAATCAGTATTAATGGGTCAGAATTTGCACCGGCACCTACAACTACTGATTTTAAATGTTTATAATGTAATGTTTTAATCGTGTTTTAAACCTTACTAGAAATAAGGCCCGTTGTGGAAATAAATACAACGGGATCTAGAAAGAGGCTCTGGGAGAGTGCTCTGGCTTTGGGCAAACAGTGTCAGTCTGCTTTTAAAACATGAATCTGGGACCTGCACACCACCAGAATACAGCAGATTCCATATGCAACTGACATTCCAACTGCCTTGCGGGGGGGGGGGGGGTTTGAGGTGTGGAATGGAGGGAAGTCCAATCAGCTTCCATATGCAAAAGACCAGGTTGTCGCAGCAGTTGTGGTGTGGGCGGGACCCGGGCTTTGCCTTCTGATTGGTGGCGATATATGCTGAGGAGCAGTGCCATCAGCCATACACTAAGGGAGTGCATTTTAGAATTAGAACTTTGGCACCCACTATTCAATTATATATAAGGAGAGATTGTATTATTTGAGATGATGTGACCTGCCCTGAGCCCGCTCACGAGATGGGCGGGATACAAATACGAAAAACATAAAAATTTTAAAAATGCCCCCTCCCCCCTGTAGCTGTCTCCCTGCTCAGCCCAAGAGTCCCCATGATAGCTCCGTCTCCCACCTTGGGTCTGAGCGATATCTGACCCTTTACCGAGTCGTCCCTCTTTATCCTAAGTTGAGAAGACGGTGTGCCCAGTTTCCCCCTTCCCACTCGTGCCCGACAAAGGGAACTTTGACTCTCGGAAGTTGATACCCCGAAATTTCTGTTGGTCTGCAAGGTGCTACCGAGCTCGAATTTAATTTCCAATATGTGGCTGATAAAGCAGATCATCAGAGTGGAAGACTGCAGTACATTTGGGGGAAGTGGACACGTGTAGATGCCTTGTGCTGAGTCAGATACTTCGTCTATCAAAATTGCCTGCTCTGACTGGGAGCTGCTCTCCAGGGTCTCAGACTGGAGGTCTTGCACATCGCCTCCTACCTGATCCTTCTAACTGGAGATTCTGGGGATTGGAACCACTGTCTTCATTGTTATCTTGCCACCCATCCGTGGTGCCAAGGGCATCATTCATTATCCCCCCTTCCCATTTAATTCTCACAATAACCTTATGCGGGGGCTTAGCCTGTGTGAGAGGGAAGACTCAAGATTATCCAGTGATCCCCATCCAAGATTGTGGCCTAGATCTTTCCCATCAGTCACCTTCTGGTCGCCCATCAAGATCTTCCCCTGCTCTTGCTGATGCCATGTACGAAAAAGACAAGTTGCCCCTTCTGGCAGTTCTTGGAGCAAGTTTCTATTGGGTGTTGTAAATAAGAAGTGGGAGACTGACCAGTTATGAAGGTGCACAGAGAGTTTATATAGTTATAAAGGTGAATATATACAGAGATATTTACAGGCTATCGTACAGCATGTCGTGCCTTAGTCTATGAGAACTACGTTCCCCCTCAGTTTACTAAGCTGATAGCTATTATGCTAAACCCCAGCCAATCTCTAACAAGGTGATGCAATCACTAACTCTAACAAGCCCAGAAAGAGTAACACCTGCTAGAAAACACCTGGCTGTAATGACATGATTACTAGCATGACAGCTAGGTCTGTCGAATAGATCAAACTGATCTATAGTAACTGCTTGCTACCTCTATCACTCTAACATATATCTCAATAGTTTCATCACATATTTTTGGAACTCTGTCTGGGCCCCACTTGAAGATAGCCACACAGTTCTGGATGTTCACCTCAACAAGGGTCTTGTGCAAGGGATGCTGGGATCACTAGTGGCTTATTGAACAATCTCGTTGTAGTATGCTCTGGCCTGGATGGCCCAGGCTAGCCCGATCTCGGAAGATCTCAGAAGCTAAGCAAGGTCGGCTCAGGTTAGTCCTTGGATGGGAGACGACCAAGGAAGTCCAGGGTTGCTACGCAGAGGCAGGCAAGGGCAAACCCACCTCTGTCTCTTGCCCTGACCTGGACGGCCCAAGCTAGCCTGATCTCGTCTGATCTTGGGAGCTAAGCAGGGTCAACTCTGGGTCAACAGGGTCAACAGCCTTTGGATGGGAGACCATCAAGGAAGTCCAGGGTTGCTAGGCAGAGGCAGGCCATGGCAAATGACTTCTGAACGTCTCTTGCCTTGAAAACCCTACGGGGTCACCATAAGTCAGCTGAAACTTTACGGTATTTTCCACCACCCTTGTATCTTCTGTTTAGTAGGCCCTGGGGTGCACCTCTCAGATCGCAGGTTGTTTCGTTGTGCCCTCAAACTGTTGCTGCCCAAACAACGTCTTGTGCTGTCGAGCTTGGCCTGGTTTTACTCAAGGACAGATGGGTGGGTGGGGTGGGGTGGGGGAATTGGGGTAGCTGGTCCAAAACAGGGGATTCGTAAAGTATCGGGTCGGAACCCAGGCTGTTCATTTCCAGAACCCCATCGTAAGCACCCCTAGCCTACCGTCACCCCTAATACACACACAGACGCGAAACATGTATACAGACATACACGCATGACAAAGCCCCATTGCTTAGGCATCAGCATCTTACAGCTTTCCAAGGCAGCGGCCGTACCTAGTGGTGTCTGCAGTGCGTCCGCGATCTGAATCCCCGGCTTCCGCATCATCCCATCTTCGGCAGGCCGGGAAGAAACGAGTCGGAGCGATAGGACGAGAGCGAGGGCGTAGAGGAGCCGGGGTGTGCCCATCTCTTCCCCAGTTATCTGGCCAAGTTCTATAGGCAAGAGGACTCCTTTCCCCTTATTTATATCTTCTTTGAAATTGTGGGAGGGAGGGGGGAATCACCAGTGGGAGGACAAGCGTTAACCCTTGCTCCCGTTAACGACGACCGATGGAGCAAGCCGGGCTGAAGGTGTGATTGAAGAAGGGCCCGTAAATCACAGCAACTTTCCAGAGATGCTTAGGCAGCCTTCAGCCCTGCCTCTAGAGCTTCATGGAACCCTCCTCCCATTCTCAAAGGTAGCATTCTAAGAAGTGCTAAGCACAGGGCCAGCTAGACCGGCACAGATCAGGGGTATCTCAGTGCATGGACGAGATAGTTCTGGGAGGAATGGTTTAGATTTGCTTGGCACTGGGGGAACTTTCTGGGACAAGTCAGACCTGTACAAAAGAGACGGGCTCCGCTTGAACCAGAAAGGGAACCAGGCTGCTGGCGGTTAATATCCAAAAGGTGGCGGAGCAGCTTTTAAACTAATCACGGAGGGAAAGCCGACGAGCTGGGGAGCATCTCGTTTGGGAGAAGTCAGTCCAAAGGGGTGATTGCATAAACACTCAAGGTGATATTGATAGCAGCATAATAGGACGCGGGAGTGAGGGTAGGATGGTGAAGGAGAGCCATGTGTGGCGACTTCAGCGGCCGAGGGAGGCGAGGGTTGCTGGAGGTGAAAACATGTTATTAGGTGTCTCTGTATGGCCATGCGAGAAGTCTCTGAGCCAAGAGAGTTCCCAGGGCCCCCTTCCATCTCCTAGTAAAGGTAAAGGTTTCCCTTGCTCGAAAGCCAGTCGAATCCGACTCTTGGGATGCGGTGCTCATCTCCATTTCCAAGCTGAAGAGCCAGCGCTGTCCGAAGACTTTCCCGTGGTCATGTGGCCAACGTGACTAAATGCCGAGGCACACGAAACACTGTGACCTTCCCACCGAAGTGGTACCTATTTATCTACTTGCAGTTTCTTGCTTTCAAACTGCTAGGTTGGCAGGAGCTGGGGCCAGAGATGGGAGCTCACTCCGTCCTGCAGCACTTGGGTCTCGAACTGCTGAACTACCGACCTTCCGGTCTGCAGCTCAGCATCTTAAGCACTTGAGCCACCCTCAAACCCCCAAACATGCCCCCTTTCCATCCAGCCCACCACCATTCCTTCCCCTGCCCGTGCTCACCCCTGCGTTCCCAACGGCACTGAATAGTGTTTGTAGCTGGGTGAATGGTGAACCCCTAGCAAATAAGTGAGTTGAGGGAGGTTGACAGTCCTGGGCCCTGGTCACTGCCCAGCCTCTGGGTCTCTTGGTGGAGGCCCTGCCTGGAACACATCTGCATGATCCCACAGGCGAAAACACCCGGGGGGGCCCCCTGCCTGACATTTAAACAGAGGCAGGAGCAGCTGCGTTTCGGCCAAATGCCGTCCTTGTCTCTCCGTCAGAAATGGTTAAATTTTGAGGAGACCCCAGAATCCTTGAATGGAAATTCTTGGAGTTGATTATGCCCAGACTTGCTGTTAGGGGAATGCCTTCAAGAGGAGGAGAGGGGGGAAGAGGAGAGGGCAATTCCATAATTTATGAACCTGTGGAACATGCCAAGCTGGCTGGCTAGGCCCTGGCTTGGACGCAACCCGGCCTGCTGCTAGCTGACCAGACAGCCGGAAAGAGGGACTCCCTTTCTCCGTGCTGATGGATGGGGAGAAGCGAGAGCCAGCCCTCCCAGTTGGATGGTGGCAGTGTTCCAGAGCGAGAAAGATCCTGGGCTTCACAGTTGGGCCTCTGCCAGGACAACAAATAAAGCCGTGGTTCCACAGCAAGGGGAAGGTGTGGCCGGCCGCCTAGCTTGGGAAGGAAACTGCCTGGCTTATGACCATGAGTCAAATGGAGCCGAGCTGTGTGCCATTTTTTTTGCTCCCGGTGGGGCTTGATTTGGGGCCATCCATTCAGTCTGGGAAGGACTCCACCTCCAATCTGATATGCTTTGCGAGCTACTAGGGAGGATTGTGAGGCACCCCAAAGGGATCTGTCGAGGATGGGCGAGTGGGCGTCAACGTGGCAAATGGGGTTCAATGTGGCCAAGTGCAAAGTGATGCACATTGGAGCCAAAAATCCTAAATATAAATACACGTTGATGGGGTCTGAACTGGCAGAGACTGATCAAGAGAGAGATCTTGGAGTTGTAGTAGATAACTCACTGAAAATGTCGAGACAGTGTGTGACTGCAATAAAGAAGGCCAATGCTATGCTGGGGATTATTAGGAAGGGTATTGTAAACAGATCAGCCAATATCATAATGCCCCTATATAAATCAATGGTGAGACCTCATTTGGAATACTGTGTGCAGTTCTGGGCACCACACCTTAAAAAGGATATTATAGCTTTGGAAAAAGTGCAGAAAAGGGCAACTCAAATGATAAAAGGGTTGGAACACTTTCCCTATGAGGAAAGGTTAAAGCACTTAGGGCTCTTTAGCTTGGAGAAAAGACGACTGAGGGGTGACATGATCGAGGTTTATAAGATTATGCATGGGAAAGAGCAGGTAAAGAAAGAGGTACTTTTCTCCCTTTCTCACAATACAAGAACCCGTGGGCACTCCATGAAATTGCTGAGCGGTCGGGTTAGAACGGATAAAAGGAAGTACTTCTTCACCCAAAGAGTGATTAACACATGGAATTCACTGCCACAGGAGGTGGCGGCGGCTACAAGCATGGACAGTTTCAAGAGGGAATTAGATAAGCATATGGAGCAGAGGTCCATTGGTGGCTATTAGCCACAAGGTAAAGATAGGGATTCTGGGACAAGTGATGCTCTGGTGCTTGGGGGGGGGGGTCAATAGTGTGAGGGCTCCTAGTGCCCTGGCCCCACTGGTGGACCTCCTGAGGGCACCTGGTATTTTTGGCCACTGTGTGACACAGAGTGTTGGACTGGATGGGCCATTGGCCTGATCCAACATTGCCTTCTCTTATGTTCTTATGAATTGCTGTGCTGGGTCAGGCCAATGGGTACTTTTGTCTATTGGTTCTGGGCCCAGCAGCCGGAGAACGTACTTTGTGTCCAATACCAGAATTATAACTGGATTGTAGTCCAGTAGCGCCTTAGAGACTTCCCGACAAGATTTTCAGAATGCAAACCTTTGAGAATTAAAGGGCCCTTTATCAGATACTGAGGAAGGGAGCTTTGACTTTCGAAAGTTCGTGAATTCGTGGAACGTGCCAAACTGGCATACTGACAAAGTGAGCTTTGACTCTTGAAGCCTTATACTCTGAAAGTCTTGTTGGTCTCTAAGATATTGCTGGCTTCAAATCTCGTTCTTTTACTGCACAACAACAATGGCTGTCCTCCAATAATTAGAGAATAATGGGGATGTCCATCTTGTGCTGTTACTTCCTTGCAACTTGTCATCTAAGGCTGTACAGATACCACATTTCTGTGGGAGCGCACAGAAAACTAGGTGTGACACTGGTTGCAGAATTCAGCCTCCTAAGAACCCCTGATTGTATTTTAAAAGGAATGGCAACTTTCTAGTCCTCATAGTATCAAATATATGCTTGAACACAGGCAATGTTCCCTCTAAGCTGTGGAGTCTTGTGAGCAAAAATTCTACTCTATGTGCTACTGACATTAAAGTTGTGAGTGAACGATTTGACTGCTGCATGAATTAGTTTGCTCTGGAGCCATCCCTCCTGAGCTAAGACAGAAATGTGTGAGCCGGAGGCTAAAAAACTGTGAGCTAGCTCACACTAACTCAGCTTAGAGGGAACACTTAACACAGGCAATTAAATATCTACACGAATCCAAAGACTGGCAGTGAAATGTCACCAGGATGCAGATTATACCCGATTCCTGTGTTTCTTTTTCCATCTGTCTTTAGTGAAATGGTAGATTTGACAAGCATCTTTCTTCTGATTAAAATCACACCATAATTATTTTATTGTCTTTTACGGCTTTTAAATGATTGCTTTGTGTTGTTTTCCATATTTATGTGGAGTGCTTCTTTGACTGTTTTAATTCACATTTCTCTCGCTCTTATTGTATGTCGTCTTGGGGACAGTGTAAAAATAGCATAGAATAAATAAAATGCTTGCAGAGCAGAGATAACTTATGGGATCCTAGACTGTCAAAGGCTTTGTACCAGTAGATCCACTAGAGAGATGCTTAGACTATGCTGGACAGGATGTGGCCCTTACACTAGGCATTAATGGTGAAATGGGACTGTTACCCCTGTTGGAGTTTACAAGTTGCTTACATTTCAGTCATGATAGGGTTAACTGATACTGCTAGATGTTTTTAGTAAACAAGCTATTACCTGTAACCACTTAGAAGTTTTTTTAGTAAACAAGCTATTACCTGTAACCACTTAGAAGTTTTTTTAGTAAACAAGCTATTACCTGTAACCACTTAGAAGTTTTTTTAGTAAACAAGCTATTACCTGTAACCACTTAGAAGTTTTTTTAGTAAACAAGCTATTACCTGTAACCACTTAGAATAGAGATTAGACTACTTCTGGGACTTAAAATGGATTTTGCTTTGATAACTATTGAAAAAAGAAGGTTATTTAGAATAAGTTTAAATATATAAGAACAATAGTTAAAAGATATGTTACCTGTAGAATTTGACCAATGAGTAAGGGGGAAAAGAGGGAAATACAAGATTTGGGCTGGAGGTTGGAGCACTGCGGGAAGTCAGAAGGGGTGGGTAATTAGGAGAAAGGGATATATGACAGTTTGTAAGGTGATGTATAGTTTGATTTATTGATATATCCTAATAAAAATTGGGGTTTGTTTTTTTTTTAAAGAATGTTTGCCCTGGAAAATTAGTGGGAGTTGTTCACCCTCATTAAGTGACCTGTAACCCTTCTATTAGGAGCTGCGGTGGCTCAAGTGGTTAAGACGCTGAACTGCAGGCTGTGGAAGGTCGGTAGTTCAGCAGTTCGAGACCCTAGTGTGCCGCATGACGGAGTGAGCTCCCATCTCTAGTTCCAGCTCCTGCCAACCT